AAAAAAAAAAAATAAATAAATAAAGGGGTTGTTGGGCAACATCATCTGGGAAATAATTTTCTAGAATTCTACAATGTCCTCTCTTGTCTACTGAGTCCAATACTGGGTTGAAAGGTAGAATCTCCAGCCACACTCATATTCCTTTTGTCTGATAAACAGGTCTTGTTTTGTCAAAGCCAGACCTGGTCATCTTTTTGGAACAAAAGGAGCTCTGGGATGTGAAGAGAAATCACACAGTAGCCTCACACCCAGGTAGGTGGGAATGAAACAGATGACAGAGGTGAAATCCAAATGTAAAGGAGGAAGATGGACCTTAAATGTGGTTTGAGCAGCTCTCCTCAAATGGAAATAAGTTTGAGAAGCCTAGTTTTATGTCTCTCCCTCTCAGCAGATATCTGCTTTCCAGCACATCATGATCTTGCCTTCTCTTAAGATTCTCCTTCAGTTCCACTGGGAGGGCCTCCATAACGTGATTGGCTCTTCATTGCTTTGAGGGTCTTGGGGAAATCTCTATTTCTGAGGAACTTTATGCTAATCCATTACTGAGTTCTGTTTTGCCTCATGTGAGAAGTGTGTCAGGGTAGTGGTGGGCATATTGGGGTTTGGTGCAGAAATCCCAGGAACACTGGAGACAGAGATTACATGTTATCTGCTTTATGCTTTCCAGTATTTATGGAAGCTTTAATCTTAGTTGCACAAATATGAAACCCAGTAATTTCATCAGATAGCAAAGCGCCTCTCTCAAATGAGAAAATCTAATCCTTTATTTCACTTCAAAAGTTCATTTCTCGGGGCACAAGAGTGGATCTGCTGGTTAAGTGTCTGACATTGGCTGAAGCCATGATCTCACAGTTCGTGAGTTCCAGCAGTACAGAGAGCTTTTTGCTGACAACACAGAGTCAGCTTGGGATTCTGTCTGCTTTCCTCCCGCTCCACCTCCCCCCCCTCCACATTTACTCTTTGTCTCTCTCTCAAAATAAATACAAACTTAAAAAAAATTTTTAAAGTTCATTTTCTTTGTATTAACTAAAATAAGAAATTTCCACTCTATGAATTTCATTATTCAATGGTAAAATAATTTAAAACATCTGTTATTTCCTAGAATTCCTATATAAATTAAAGGCATGGGGAAGCTAGAACATTTAGAATTTAAAATTTGCAGCCTATAATAAAGTCTCAAATGTTACCTTATGTCCTAATAGTTGAATTATTTTATACTTTTGTCCTTATAATATGAAGTTCTTGTGACTTTGTCATATGTGTTTTCACTTTCTGAGTGAGATTCCTTTATGATTTATTAGATCGAATGCTCTGATGTGACACGGGCATGTGCTTTATAAAAAGTAAAGTAGGTAATTAGTAAACTTCCCATGTAAAAAAAAAAAAAGGAGTTTTAATTGTAAGTGTAATTTCACTTCAAGAGAAATGAAATAGTTTTTCTACTTTCCTCTGAATGTATCTGAATTTAATCCCAAAGATTTTTTTAAAGCAGTTGTTGCCATATTTTATAACTTTGGTGGTGTTTGTTTATTTAGAAATTAAAGGTTTTGGGGCATCTTGGTGGCTCAGAGGGTTGAGCATCTGACTTTTCATTTCATCTCAGGTCGTGATCTCAAGGTTTGTGAGTTTGAGCCCCACGTCCTGCACTTCACTGACTGTGGACTCTGCTTGGAATTCTCTCCCGCTCTCTCTGCACTCCCCCTCTCAAAATACACTTAAAAAAAAAACTTAAAAAAAAAAGAAATGAAAGGTTTTGTTTGCTTGATTTTAAAGAATGGATTATACACTTAAATTCATTGTAATAAGAGGGATCTATATCTTTTAAGTGCTAATTCATAAAAGTTTTCATCACAGGTTTCCATGGTTGATTTTAATGAATATACTTGACAGTTTTAGTGTCCATGAAGACATGCCAATAATTCAAAATGTTCCTTTTTTCATGGGCACACAGTCACAGTTTAAAATTATAGCTACATAGGGGCACCTGGGTGGCTCAGTTGGTTAAGTGTCCCTCTCTTGATTTCAGGTCAAGTCATGGTCTCATAGTTTGTGAGTTCAAATCCTGTGTTGAGCTCTGTGCTAGCAGCACTATGATGGTTCGTTATACCTTTAAGATGTTTTAAGGAATCTTTAAGGTAACCACAATGAAAATACAGACAATATATTCACCAATAAATAGATGATGAAATTAATTCCATTATTATGACAATTCACATAGACCTGATACAACATTCACTGACCACTAACCAAGGAGAAAAATACACAAGATGAATCACAAAGTATGCATAGGTAATATTTCTACAAATACATGGATGATTTTTTTGGCACAGGGCATAAAACTGATTCATATTTGAGTTACATTCACATCATCCAAAAACGTAATGAGTTGAAAATTGTCACTATAACAACATATACAGGTAAAAACAAAATCACACCTAAATAATGCTGTGGAAAGTCCCGTACAAAATGAAGCACATTAGTATGGAATTGCAAAACCAGAATAAGACAAAATATAACCCCAAAAATTCTATATAAAAATGATGAATTAAAGGAAACCTACAATAATTTTACTTTAAAGTTTATTTACTTTGTCAGATAGAGAGCACAAACAGGTGAGGGGGAGAGAGAGAGAGAATCCCAAGCAGCGTTGCACTGTCAGCACAGACCCTGAAGCAGGGCTCCAACTCCGCAAGAGTGAGATCATAACCTGAGTCAAAATAGACAGTTAGACTCTTAACCGACTGAGCCACCCAGGTGCTCTTCTGTGTGTGTGTGTGTGTGTGTGTGTGTGTGTGTGTGTGTGTGTGTGTGTAATCTATATAATTTTAATTTTTTTAAATGTTTATTTTTTATTTAAAATTTTTTTCAACGTTTTTTATTTATTATTTTTGGGACAGAGAGAGACAGAGCATGAACGGGGGAGGGGCAGAAAGAGAGGGAGACACAGAATCGGAAACAGGCTCCAGGCTCCGAGCCATCAGCCCAGAGCCTGATGCGGGGCTCGAACTCACGGACCGCGAGATCGTGACCTGGCTGTAGTCGGACGCTTAACCGACTGTGTCACCCAGGCGCCCCTAAATGTTTATTTTTGAGACAGACAGTGACAGAGCACAAGTGGGGACAGTTAGAGAGAGACACACACAGAATCAGGGGCAGCCTCCAGGCTCTGAGCTGTCAGAGAGATTGAGTCACAAAGCACAGAGCCCTCCAACTCAGGAACCCTGATATCATGACCTGAGCTGAAGTCGATGCTTAACCAACTGAGCCACCCAAGCACCCTGTAGCTGTAATTGTAAACTGTGACAGTGTACCCATGAAAAAAGGAACATTTTGAATTATTGGCATGTCTTCATGGGCATAAAATTATAAAGAATATTCATAAAATCAACCATGGGAAGCTCTAATGAAAACTTTTATGGATGACTACATGTATTATGTTAATAGATCCCTCCTATTACACAGAATTTAAGGGTATAACCCATTCTTTAATATTAAGGAAACAAAAACTTTTCATTTCTTTCTTTCTTTTTTTTTAGTTTTTTTTAAGTTTATTTTGAGAGAGAGAGAGAGAGAGAGAGTGGAGGAGGGTAAGAGAGAGAGGGAGAGAATTCCAAGCTAGCTCAGTGCTCTCAGTGCAGAGTAGGATGCGGGGCTGGAACTCACAAACTACAAGGTGATGACGTGAGCTGAAGTGAAGACTTTGATACTCAATCCTCTGAGCCAGTGAGATGCCCCAAAACCTTTCATTTCTAAATAAACACACACCACCAAGGTTGTAAAATAGGCCAACGATCACTTTATAAAAAGAATCCTTGGGTTAAATTCAGATACATCTTGAAAAGTAGAAAAACTAATGATTTATTTTTCCAAAGTCAAAGTTGTCCAATTTTAGTCTTGTGTACAAGAAATTTTAACTGTATTCATCTGATAGTAGAAAGTGGAATGATTTTACTTTCATTTGTTACCTTCCAGCTGTATCTTCACATGATACCCAGAGCCTCTTTCCAAAGATGTGCATAGGAAGTATTTTCGAAAGAGTGTCAGTGGATAAATATAAACATAGTGCCCTTGAGAATGGACACTTAGTGATAGAGTGGAACAGTGTTGGGGAGAGACAAGGGCATCAAAGATCTCATGAAACACATATGCAAATAGAGACAACTGCCCATTATAAGAATCTCACTGCCCAAAACAGTGAAGGATATAAAACATTTTGGAAACCCCCCCTCTCTAACACTGTTACTTCTGCAGGGCAGTGTGTTTCTATAATCAAAGGCTCAAATCAAGTGGTCAAACAGTCATATTTGCAGAACAAAAATTTGGAGAATCTGGAAAGTGACCTAGCCCATGCTGAAAATACTTCTTTGCACCATTTTGACAATAGGATTGCATTACCCTTTCAGTCAAATATTTCTGAAAGTCAGAGATTGAAAAAGGAAGACAAAAATGGTAAGTGGTATCCATTTGAGGGGTCCTTCCCTGAGCAGTCGACCTTACAACAAAACCACAGCATTTTCAATGAAAACAGAATTGCTCATTGCAGTGAATCTGAGAAAATACTGAACCAGGATTCAAATGTTAATAAATATCTACGGACTCCTTTGCCAGAGAACCATTGTGACTGCACTACATGTAGGGAAGTCTTTTATCAAAGCTCAAACCTTATTAGACAGAAGAGAATACATTTGGGAGAGAATCCTTCTGAATATACTGAGTGTGGGAAAATTCTTAACCAGTCCTCCAATGTTGGTGATCATCCGAGGAGTCCTGTGGGAAAAAACCCGTACACATGCAATGAACCTGGGAACGTGTTTAGTCAGTCATCAAGACTTAATATCAATAAGACAATCCATATTGGGAAGAAAGTTTACATTTGTAAGGAATGTGGCAAAGCCTTCAACTGGCACTCAACACTAATTCTACATCAGCAAAAGCATACTGGAGAGAGACCTTACAAATGTGAAGAATGTGGTAAAACTTATAAGTACAGCTCATCACTAAATAAACATAGGATAATCCATACTGGAGAGAAAATTTACAAATGTCAAGAATGTGGCAAGGCCTTTAACTGGCAGTCAGGCCTTATTGGACATCGGAAACTTCATGCTGAGGAGAAACCTTACCAATGTAAAGAATGTGGCAAGGCCTTTAAAAGGTACTCAAGCCTTACTGTACATCACAGAATTCACACTGGAGAGAAACCTTACCAATGTAAAGAATGTGGCAAGGTCTTTACCCACCAGACAAGCATTATCAGACATCACAG